TAACCGTTGGCTGGAAATTGGGCATACAAGTATTTAACCTCCTCCTTTTTCCCATCATCTTCGCTGTAGTGGATCTGAACGCGTTGGAATAGGATTCTAACACAACCGCATTTGTGACAAACGGGGTGGTTGCTTCTGAAGTGGAGGATGCGCATGGCTTTCGTGGCCTTACGGTAGACCTTTTTTCTCATCTTCCCATCTGCCAGGTTCGTCATTTATACATCGAGGAAGGGTAGCTGTGGTTGCTGAACTCTTCTTCCATAGTAAACTGGAGGTCAGGAAAGATGGAATTCAGCAGCGCCTTGAAGGTCTGCACTTTGCTTCTTTCGATGACTCATTCTTATCAGGAACGTTTCTGTTTTTTGCGGATTTTTCGATATTTGTTGATTCCTTAGCATCATCAGGGGAGGATTGTGAAACATGAAAGGCTGTTGAGGCATCCAGAATGATTATGCTATGTGCTAGGCCTACAGTGCTTTCGTTCAGATGACTCTGTGGGGTATTCGACCCTACCAAAGTTTAGGTTTCCTCAACTCGTCGGATTTATTTTACACCGATAATTGCTTCTCAATCGCGTCTGATTTCTTCACTTTCGGATCCTGGCGACGTTTTGGCATGGTAATCCACGCCGTCCTCTTCTTATTCCTTGGCTCCTCGTGAAGCGCTCTCTTGCTACGCTTTACAGGTGTCTTACCCACAACTCACCTGTTTTCTGCGTCTTCATTACACATAACGCCCTCACTCTACTCTAAAACTTGCGTAGTAACCACCAGTGAATTCTCTGGAGCAAGGGTCCTGTGAATAACCTCCTTCGTGTTTTCGACTTCGCCCTCTAATTGCTGCAACTTGGCGGCTATCCTTTAGCACCCGTCACATGAATTCTATAAATAGGTCGGCTGTGGGGAATTTACCAAACGTTTAGAACGCCCCTCCGGTTGTGAACCGATGTTGTCGTAGTTAATACTGTCTTCTGTGACTTGAAGTGCAGCCTCTTCTTATCCCGGGCGCGCATCCCCTTTAACTTCAGAGGTAGATTCCTACATTGTGCTCAACGTTTCTTTATCCAAAAGAATAAAGATTTTTAAACTTAAAAGCTGTGACTTTGTTAATAGTAAGTATTTGTGTACTTTAAGAATATGTGCAGAATACGATTCAGCCAATATGATACGTGCGGCCTCCGGTTACATTAGCAGTAGACCTACTTTTGGGCTTCATGTGTTGCTCGAAAAATTGTGAAAGACAAAGACCACTTTAATGTTCGTCCTTACGAAATTTTCTATGGGGGAATAAATGCGCGATTTTGTGGAATGTCAACCAAGTGTTAAAGTAGGCTCAACCAGTGAACCGCAGAATTAAGGGCTTTAGGACGGCGGCGGTGGCCGATGGCGCAAATCCCGAGAAAACTGATGTAGTAATCCCGCCTTGGGTGTCAGCAAGTGGAGGAAAAACCGCGAAGAAACTCGATAGCCACACAGCCGTGAAATTATCCCAGAATGATTTTCAGACTGAAATCTATCTGGACATAGGCAGGAATTTTTCTGTTAGGCTATCTACCAACCACACAACTATGAATATACAGCATTTTTTCGCTGTTGAACGAATGAAAGTAACAGCACTAGATTTTGCAGACCTGAAAAACTCATCACTTCTAAATGTAGCAACCATTATTTTCACCAACTGATGGATTGCAAAATGTTATGCTTGAGAAGACCCAAAAATACATCAAATGGTTATCTGAAGTCTAGCATAAATCAACGTGTACTGTGGGATTTAGTGTACAGACCTACATTCCGTTACATTATCTGCCGTGAGCTATTTTAATAACAAACCGGTGAACAAAGCGATGTTGTCCTGACATTGATCAGTATGAGATGCTTTGGCGTTGAATGAAAAAATTTGTCTGCGTTTGGATCAGGGTTTCTGTAGTTGTCCGATTCAGAACTGTTGTTTACATTTCTGCATTGTCGTAGCGTTGTTTTCGGGGTAAATTCCTTTGCTAAAAATTTAAGTGTTTCGGTCAGTTTCTTTCTTATGCCTACCTCAAAGGCATATCGTTCACCCTTCCTATGTATTCATGCATTTCTAGGGAGAAACTTTAATGTATTTCACAACTTACTCAATGCGAAATGGGCTTTTGGCACAAACATATGTGATAGATTAAAGGTGGTGGTACACAAATACGATTTGAAAAGCAGTATAGAAATACTGATGTCAAATCATCAGCCCACTACTTCCACGGAAAGGAAATTTCGATGGGGATCTAACATGTATGTCACATAAGAAAACCTTAACCAAGGTTCCGTGAAAGATGAGACTAGTAGTAAGGAAGGGGTTTCCGGGTGAAGCAAAAGGTGACGGTAGCCAAAATATTCTAGGAAAGAAAGAGTTAACCCTAAAGAAAATAGAACAAAAATCAAAAGCTAGTCTGAATGTTGGAAATATACAGGTTGACAGCACGAAAGGAAGAAATGCTGAAAAAAGGAAGCATTTGCATAAACCTAAACCCTTAACTTTAACCATAGCCTTTTACTCTGGAGGCTTAAACCTAAGCCCGAACTCTAACTCCAAGCCCTAACCATAAGTGTAAAACCTTGCCCTAACCCTACGTCCTAACATTTGGCAATAATTCTTATCCTGGTAACCTTAAATCAACCCCTATATTAATTAGTAAATCAAAGACTAACCCTTAAACAAAATACTCACCTTAAACCCTCACCCAAACTGTCTAAACAGATTCAAACATAAGCATAAGCTGCCCATCTGCTTTAAGTAAGAAACTATTTTACCGTGATTAAATAGTTGAATTTACATATAAGACTCTCACGGCAATTTTTATGAGGTCAACAAATACCCACCTATCCTGTGATGTCCGACCTCGTAGTTTGGCATAACTTTGCTTTTTTAAACTCTTCTTTTCCTAGCTTTGCACTTGTCCGAGCAGTAAGTTCCTATTTACCACTACTTGCAGTACATGCAAAACGAAAATGAGAATGCAGTGGATAACTTTATTGTGTGGAATGCAATGCTCCAAAATACTGCAACGCATCGACGTAGATGTGCAGGCAGTTAGCCTAATATTTATTTTCTGTCGGATAGTGATCGAGTAAAATGATATAGGCGAACGATATAAACGAAAAAAGTAACATAAACTGCCACCAATACTAATTTTAGGGGAGATTACTTAACCCATTGTAACCTATGCGTTTAATACGTACTAGAAGAAATACCTGACTACAGTGTAGTTTCTGAATTAAATAGTCAGTAGTTTTGTACATAATCTTACTTCTTGTGCGAATGTGCCAAAAGCTAAGGAGTGTTTTGTTTGTTGAAAGGAAATACGATAACTCCTATTGTTTGCAAAAAGCACCATCAATAACTAGGACAATTCTTTTTTGCTCATTTTTTTCGCTATTCTTGTCCTCTTGAATGAGGTTATGTTTGGTTACATTATATTTCCCTCCGTGATTTGGATCTAGCTGAAAGTTAACTTCGTGTTGCTGCATATCAATGTCGCGTTGAAAATTTTTGTAACGACTTGGACCCTACCAATGTGTGTATGGTGCATCCTCAAAACTTTACTTTGGACTACTTTCAGGGATTCTTTTATTTAATGCATAAAATAATCTTAGCGACTACTTGTATCTAACAGGACAATGGGTAAGTATTCGGCCGATGCATGAAATTATTCTGTGAATGCTTTAAAAAAGCGCCTACTGTTCATTGCATTTCCTTAGTTTATTTACGTTCGTGGACCCTGGTGCTTCACTGGATGTCATATGATTGCATTTCTTCGTTTTGAATATATTTTATCAGTTATAATAACATAAAAACATAAACATATTTTATTGGCCTAGATTATCTCTTTTTCCTTGTCATGCATAGCCTGACTAGGTTAGGCTGCTACCGTTGATAATTAATACCAGACCCCAGATTATTAAAGCAGTTAAAATAGTGCCGGTAAACGAAGAATCCTTTGATAGTGGGAGGAATTAACGCTGCTCTTACACAAAGCTGATCTCGAAGGAGACATCTAGGTGCGTTTAAACAACCCGAGTAAGATGGCGTCCAGCTGGAGTATCCGTTGGCCGTTTAGAACTTAAGGCTATCTGAGTGAGGGGCAGTCTATAACAGGTTGGAATAATCAGCCACCAAACGGTTGCCGCTAAGACAGTTTTTCCCATAAATAACTCTGAGAGTCTAAAGTTTTGTACGAGAAACCAAGAGTGTGATGTCAAAAACATCAAAGCTCCGCGACTTCAAACCATACATGCAACAAAAACAGTTCGACGTCGATGTTTAGTCCCCTGTCAAGCTTGGTTATCTGTAATAGGTTTGCCCACGGGCAACCGAGTAAATGGAAGGTGTAAGAGTGTAAACATGCCCCAGATCAGCGAATACTGTGTCTGGTTTTGACTGATAATTTCGGTTCAAAGGAGATAAACACAGCAACCAGTAGGTTGCTAGGTGTTTGCGTCGGTTTTTGCCCACAAACATAGTGGTTCTGTCTTTTAGTTCAGCGACCATATTCTGCGGTTGCTAGTAACATATTCTCCCTTTAAATAGATAGAATACAGTCTAATGAGTCCGATTATACCACTATCGGAGGTTTTTTTATGAATAACGTTAGGACGGAGGTGGTGGTTAATTGATTTCTTAAATAAATAGTAACATGCTGTGCATGATGGTAGAAAACCTTTGAAATCTTAAATGCCGTATTTGTTGATTTATCACATTCTAAAGAGGTGGATTTTATGTGTTAAGTATATTGCAAATAAAACATCACCTTCGAGGACTGTGCAGAAAAAAGCAAGAGAAAATTTCTCCTCAACTGTAAACTGCCACAGGCTTTGTGGCGATTTCAGCATACATTCATTTACACAGAATTACAAACAGTAGCACGTGCTTTACAGGAGAAAAATGAAATTGGTTGAGAGAGGAGGAGCCAACGCAAAAAGAAAGTTGCTCCTGTTGCTTCTGGAAAGACAAGGAAGAAGGAATCTTTAGGCGGGACGTCCCCGCCAGTTCTTTCCGCACAGTAGTTTTCGGAAGGCATTGCGGAATTCCGCTGAAAATATCGTATATATAATGGGGTTTAAAAGAGAATTAAGGTAGCCCAACCACAGTAGGACAGAACCACCCAGGGGATGAATACGCCCGAAAAAGGGCGAGAGAAGGGCGTTGAGGTTGAAGGGGAACCAACAAAGAATGAAGCAGCCAGTGATTATCGCCAGTGTGCGAATGGCTCGCTTTTCTCGCCTTTGTTCCAGTCGAGCCCTCAGCCTCTGCTCTTCTTCTGGTCGGCGTATGGGACCATCCATACTGTCGATTGAGATCTCCTTCAGAGTCTGTCGTGCCTTCTTCTCCAGCAGTTGCTGGTTCCGGATCCAGTGCCGTTGTCGACGTCTGCGGTAAAAGACAGTCAAGGGAACGAAGTTGGTTGCATCTATTTTCTGGTCTGAACACAGCACCCCATGATCCGACTGTGAAACTCTTCCAGTGCTCCCCGCGGTTTTCAACCCCGAGGCTATATTTTCACAAGATATTGATCTACGTGCACCTGGAGAGATTGAAAAAGGATATTGTGCGGAGGCTGTACTGGACACAGGGGACACTTTTTCTGGTGTTGCATCTGCAAACTGGATGAAGGAAATATCCTTCACTATACCTTGGATCCCCTCTGGCTTGTAAGATCTTTCTAATCGAACTCTTCTGACTGCCTCATAAGTAACAGGCTGAGAGTCGAGCGAAAGGGGGTCTAGGGATACAACAGAATGTTTGGAGCGTATGGAATCTTCAGAGTTGCAATGTGAAAATCTTAACTCAATTATATCAGTGTGTTTATTATCGGGGAGATCTGAGTTACAAAAAGTGTGCGAAGGTGTTATGCCTGATTCCTGAGCAGTACTCAACACTGTCGCTCCCAAATGCATGGCTGCAGCCGCGGCGGCTGTTACAAAAGGTTGTCGATGATATGAGCGCTCCGAATCTTGACCGCCACCCGACGATTTCTGTTGTTCAATCGAATCAAACACTGACTGTGGCTTTCGCCGAGACAAGGCCACCCGAAAAAAGGAGCCATTTTTGTTGAACTCTGGCTTGAGAACGTAGCGCGGGCAGCAAGTGAAGGGCTTTTTGCAGAGACATAAATGCTCCTTTTTCTGTTTTTCACTTTTTATATAACTTTTTCGAATATGCTTTCGAGCCGTGCAGTAGATCTTGGCGTAAACAACTAGCATGAATGTCATAGGCAGATTGAAAGCTAGGAGATTTGAGTAGATTGTGTAACCCGGTTCAACGTTGATGCGACATTCTCCCTGATAGAGGACCCTGTTCACCTCTTCGACAGTTCGGCCTTGATGGAAACGCGCCGGCAGGCTGACCATTGCC